TCACAGGACTCCTCGGAAGGCCACTCTTGTGTCTTAAGAATGACGTATATATCTATAGACTTATTTTTTATTAATTCCATATTCCGGATCCATATTGGGTCAATTCACGGATCATAGGACGCACTGGGTTTGTAAAATTCAGGGTTGTCACAACAACTTTACCTCAATTTGAAGTAAAAAGCCTCAATTTTTGAAATCTTTAAGATCACCCAAATCCAACTTTGCTTTGATCAAATTGAAGTTCTCGACGCGCTCTCTGACTTTACCTTCTACTACTTCGACAAATTCCAAGTGGGTAGAGAGAGATCTAAGCTTGAAGTGGTGAAAGAAAAAGAAAAAGAAAAGGAAAAGCTGGAAATGGCATAGGAAAAGGAATGAAAAAAAATGGTCATCAAATGGTCATTTGCAATGACCAAAGCTATTAGCGAGTCCTACGGCCAAATATATTAATTTGTCATTATATATGTGTGTGTGTGTGTGTGGGGGTGGGGGGGGGGGTTGTATAAGTACTAAACACACCACAACCGCACATCTAAACATATAGCCACATAAAATGCATCAAATAAATACGTGTGAAATGCAACAATCTTAAAAAATAATTCCCGTGCACGACAACTTCGGCTGCGAGTCCCACTTGGAATCTCTCGACTCGAAAAATAAAAAAATACCGAAATGACAAACGATGCATTTCTAAGAGTCCTAGACTTGAAAAAATGCCCTAACAAACTCTCGCAACTCATCCGGCACACCCCATGGTGTCCGACACGCAAAACGAGGCGAAGATTGAAATAATCCAGAAAATAAAAAAAATCCCAGAAAACAAAAAAATAGGAAAAATCAGAAATGCTACATTTACGTACAATATAATCTTAGGGAGAACTGCCCTAAATATTATGAGGACTGTCACTTCCACGTTCCACTTATTGATGCGCTTTCCTACAAAGCAAGGCATTCGTGAGTTAAGATGTGACTAAACAACAACAAGGGAGTGCTACGCTGCCGTTTTAAGAACAAAAAAGTTATAGGAAGCATTGGCCATTGAGAGACCAGAAGGGTTAATTGAGAAGGAACCCACTCAAAGAGCAGAACCAGTAGAAGACCTCGAGGAAACAGATTTTGATGAAGAAAGAATCGGAAAAATAATATTTATAGATAATATAGTATATACATATAGATACTTTTAATGATATATAATATAGTATATAGATATAGATATAGATAATAGTATAGATAGATACTTATATTTATAGATAATGATGACCAATTATATTATATTATATTTTATTCTATTTATTTTATGTTTGTATTTTAATTGGTAACTTATGTTTGTTTTTTAATTGGTAACTTATGTTTATATTTTAATTGTTAACTTTTAATTGGTAACTTATGGTTTGTATTTTACTTATTTTGTGGTAAAAATCTAAATTGAAAATCAAATTAGTAATTAGTATAAATAAAATCCTGAGTAAAATAGGATTATTAATTTAATTGGTAACTTATTTTATTATCTAATTTAGAAATCAATGATTTGAAATTCTTGACAGTACCCCTTGTATTTTAATAATATATAATATAGATAATAATAGATATAGATAATAGTATAGATAGTGGTGATCTCTTGCTCCCCATGGAGCAAGAAAATTCTTTCGCACTTTTTAGAGTATCTAATGGTCACATTCTAAACCCACCTGTAGACTTTCCTTATAATAAAAAATCACTATCACTATTTCTAGTTTCAAAATTTAATATTTACCAATACAATTAATTATAACAATAAAAGATAAGTACTAAAAAATAAAAATAGAAATCTCTTCAACTCTCCAAATCACACGTCTCACTAAAAATAAAGTTGACATTGTTTCTTTGAGTGTGAAAAAAAAATTAAAAATTACACTATTGACATACAAAACAATGAAACATTGACTAAAAAATAATAAAAAATTAAAAATAAAATCTCTATTTTTTTATCCACTTGATCAAGTTAATGTAATCTGTGATTTGAATAAACTTCACCCATAAAAAATTTAATAGATTATAATTTAAATTATTGTATACCTCCCTAAATACATGATATTTAAAAACTAGAAATTCAATCTATTTTTCTCTGACCCGTCTCAAATTATAACTACTTGTAAACACATTCCAATTACTCGTTATAATAAGTCGCACAATATAATTTTTCTAGTTCTACTATAATAACAAAAATTTATTGATGTAAGGATGAGATTCACGACAAAACATGCTATTATTTTATGAAATTTCATATTTTCTTTGTAAATTAAGTGTTTTTCTTAGTATTTTCTTTAATACTGCTATTATTATACTATCATTATTTTTATTTTTTTAGTACTTGCCTTTTATTGTTATAATTAATTGTATTGGTAAATATTAAATTTGAAAAATAGAAATAATGATAGTGGTTTTATAATAAAAGGAAAGCATATAAGTGGGTTTGGAATGTGACCATTAGATTAAATCTAATGGTCACTATAAAAAGTGCCGAAGATTTTTCTTGCTCCATGGGGAGCAAGAGATCACTACTCATAGTATAGATAGATATATTTCTTTTATGTTTGTATTTTAATTGGTAACTTATGTTTAAATTTTAATTTTTAATTGGTTACTTATGTTTGTATTTTAATTATTTTGTGGTAGAAATCTAAATTGAAAACCAAATTAGTAATTAGTATAAATAAAACCCTGAGTAAAATATGATTATTATTTTAATTGGTAACTTATTTTATTATTTTATTATCTATTTTATAATTCAATGATTGGAAATTCTTGACAACTCCTTGTACTTTTAATAAGACTAGTAAAACACATTTGCAATACACGTGATGAAAAGTTTTTTAATAATTTTAATTAAAAAATTATCAAAATAAATTTACTTTTTCAAATAATTGATTAGTAATTTTTTTGAGTAGTTAAAATTTTAAATATTTATGAAGCCGAATGTGTTGTCAAAATTAAAATTTAAGTGTAAAATTTCAAGTTTAAGGGGTTGCAATTATTTGTATAGATATGCATATAATTAGATAATGAAATACATAATATTTAAAAACTTATAGCCAAGGAATTATATAATATTACAAAACTTATTTGTTTAGTTAATAAATGCTGACATGACATAATTAAACAAACACATAAAAATAAAAAATAAAAATAAATCAACATAATTAATAAAGAATTTTGAACCATGACATCTTGATTGAATTTCAATTAAACAATTACTTATTTAATTTTAATTGGTAATTCATTTATTGATTGAATTTCAAATAAAGCATTACCTAATTAATTTTAATTGGTAATTTATTTAATGATTTGAAACATTTTAATTGAATTTCAATTAAACAATTACATGATTTATTTTAATTGGTAATTTATTTTATTATTTCGTAAATTATTTTATTAAATAATTACCTATTTTATTTTAATACGTTACTTGTTTTAGTTGTTTTAATAATAATTTGAAACTTCTTGATTGAATTTCAATTAAACATTTACCTCTTTAATTTTAATTGGTAATTTGTTTTAGTTGTTTTAATAATGATTTGAAAATTCTTGATTGAATTTCAATTAAACAATTACCTATTTAATTTTAATCGGTAATTTAGCATAATATGATTTATTTTAATTGGTAACTTATAGGATATTGGTAAATTATTTTATTAAATAATTATCTATTTTATTTTAATATTTTAATTGGTAACTTATTTTATTATTTTGTAAATTATTTTATTATTTTATCTGTAAATGATTTAAAGCATGTCAATTGGTAATTTATTAATCGTCATTTATTTTATCAAGATATTTTAAATCATTAAATAAATATTTCAATTAAACAATTACCTAATTTTAATTGGTAATTTTTTAATTATTTGGATAGATTTTGATCTATATTTATATTTAGGAAAGAGCTAGAAATAGAATAAAATAGAAAAAGTAAAGTTGTTTTAGCATTCAAGAATTTCAGGTGTAATAGGATTTATTTTAATTGTTAACTTATTTTATTATTTGGTAAACTTTTTTTATTTTAATTCATTTTATATCAATTAATAAATATATATTTTTATATTAATAAATAAATATTGAAATAGTAAAATACTGAAACTCTTTACACTTTAATAATACTTTATATATAGATATAGATATAAATACATAATATAGTATAGAGATATAGATAATAATATAGATATATAGATAGATTTATTTATAAATAATGATGACCAAGTATATATATATATATATATATATATATATATTCTTTTTATTTTATGTTTGTATTTTAATTGGTAACTTATTTTATTATTTGTAATTCTTAATTGCTAACTTATGTTTATATTTTAATTGGTAAATTATGTTCGTATTTTTACTGTTTATTTATTTTATTACTTATATATTTTTAATAATTTATTTATGAATAATGATCCTTTGAAATTCTTAACACTCCTTGTATTTTTAATAATGGTATAGATTTAGATATTTTCATGAAGAGATATATATAAACACATGTATCTCTGTATCTATATATATATAGAAAGAAAGAAGGAGTAAATATAGAAAGAGAAATAATATAGAGAGAGGATTAAAGAGCAGAGAGAGAGAGAGAGAGAGAGAGAGCCTTTATAGTGATAAAAATTAGAAATAAGGATACTATATGTAGAACTGAGGAATAAATGAGGGAGGGGTGGTTTGGAAACTCAAAAAGGTAAAATTGGTATGAAAGAAGGTTTTTTCGTCACATCTGCACATGCCATTTTTTATGTCAGAAGTCTTTATTTGCTAATTTTACATATTTTTCAAACTTCATTTCAAAAATAATGTTAGTACTTTCAATTTTATGATGGTTAAATTTTAAGTATTTATTTAATTATTATTATTATTTTTTGAAATTTGAAAATTGAAAATAAATGTGGTAGAGCTGTAAAGACAAATGTTTTCATTCAAAATTTACGGTTGCAATTTATTGCGAATAGATTTGATTTGGAGTAAATATTCAACGCATTTCTCATTCCGTCTGCAATCTTCTCACTTAAGTCAAACCAAGAACTTCACTGAAGCAGACAAATCATCATAACTCCACAAGCCCTTTTTAGGGTTTCTCTCTCTATCTCTAAACGCTTTAATTCCTGACTTTTTCCATTTCCGAGCTCCCAACCGATCTTTACTAACCAGATTAATCATTTATGGAGCTAGGGTTTTCAGCAGCGTTAAATCTCATGCTGAGCTCGGTGTTCGAGCCTTAGAGCTACCTTTTTGGCTTGAGTTTGTATGAATTTCGCTGCAATTTTGAGCTTCATGAATCATGTATTTGAATAGTTTAAAATGATTATAGTGTTCTAATATTTTGAATCCCAGATTGAACTTGGTAGAACTATGTGTTTTTACGAATCTGAGTATATACTTTGGATCTGGTGTTATCGAAGTTTCTAAGTAATGGCGCTCAAGGTTTCAGCTCCTGAAGCTGCCAATGTTGCAATTCAGTCTATCGGACGTGGGTATGATATATCATTGGATTTGAGGCTCAAGTATTGTAAAGGGGATTCGATCAATGCCCGTTTGATTGAGGTGGATGAGGATCATGGTAGAGAGGTTGTTCTTCCTGGTGGAATTTCGATTCCAAATGTACCCAAATCTATAAAATGTGATAAAGGGGAACGGACTCGTTTTCGATCAGATGTTCTCTCTTTTCAGCAGGTATCAGTATATATATTTTTTTCTTGACAAAATTGATGATCTTTTCATTGTTCTGCTTATGGAGATTCGTTGCTTACTTTGTTACTTCTATTTATTTGTTTTTGGACTTGCATGTGTTTGCTTTGGTGATTAGGGGGTATATGAACTTTGTTGCCTTGTTATCTTGTATTAAGAACATGTTCCTGGCCATGAATCTAGGATAATTATGTGCATTTTCACTTGTTAAAGGATTACCAGCCGCTTTTAGAATGCACTGTGGTCTGAATCTGATATACTGTTAATGAGTGATATGAATATATGCCATATTTCGTATTAAGAACATGTTTTCGGCCATGAATCTTAAGAGGATTATTATCACATGTGCATTTTCACTCCTTGTTAAAGGAAACATATTTATGATTATTATTTCTTATGTGCCACTTTTAGTCGCATTGAATGCACTGTGGTCTGATATAGTTGTAATAAGAGAGATGAATACATGCCTTGTTTATGTAATTTATTGCTTAACGAAGTTAAGACTTCTGTTGTTTGAAAATACTAGAATTAGAATAGATGACTCTGTGACTCACCGGCTCACTGAATGTTATAATTGAATCATACATTATCTGCCTTGTGACTTACCGGCTCATTGAATGTTATAATTGAATCACACATTATATGATAGTTGTCGAACATCTTATTGCTCCACTATGTCCTGTATGGTTTATGTTCATATCTTAATTTGAATGTTGTCATTTCCATTCCCTTCTCCAGATGTCAGAGCAATTAAATCAGGAGATATCTTTGACTGGGAAAATTCCTTCGGGCCTCTTTAATACTATGTTCGAGTTTTCAGGTTGTTGGCAGAAAGATGCAGCCAACACCAAGACCCTTGCTTTTGATGGCGTGTTCATCACGCTTTATACAGTTGCACTAGAAAAGTCTCAGATGGTACTGTGTGATCACGTGAAGAAAGCTGTTCCATCGTCATGGGAACCTGCTGCCTTGGCAAGGTGAAATTTGAAAAATTTATATATATATTTTTTTCTTTGCAATGATAGCTTTATAGTTCTGTATTTCAAGCTGAGTCTCTTGTGCTTTCCATTCTGTTAAAATTTTGACCATGGCTATCATGAATACAACCTTATCTCTCAGGACATACCTTTTTATCTTTATTTTTCGTATTCGTCCTTATTGTACACCTATGCAGCTATGCCATTTCTTGTATAACCATTTTGTGACATTTCAAAGTTTAACATCATAATGGTGAACAAATGCGTCTGGGAAGGTAAACAGGTGGAGTTGTGCTGTCTAGTGGATGGGGATGATAGCATGATTAAAAAATAAATCTTAAAAAGTATTTATGTGTAGGATTTTTTCAGGTTTAGGGTGGGAAACCCTATTTTAGTTGTAGTGGGAGAAATTGCAAGGATGTATGTCAGCATCTTATAGCATAAGCTTCCATTTGAGGTGAGTTTGCAAGCGTGCTTTGCCCCGTGAGTTGTGGGATCTGCTGAGATCTGATATAAAAGGAGTTGTCAACATTTTATCAAGTTTTATTGTTCGAAAAAGTTAATTCAGGTGGAATAATATGAATTTACATTTTGGCGGGAGAGAAGTGCTAGTTGATTGCAATAATACTAATGTACATTTTCACTGTACCAGGTTTATTGAAAAATTTGGCACTCATATTATTGTTGGCATAAAGATGGGAGGGAAGGATGTAATTTATGTAAAGCAGCCGCATTCTTCATCGCTTCAACCTGCTGATGTGCAGAAAAGGATAAAGGCAATGGCAGACAAGAGATTTTTAGATGCAAGTGGACAATATGGCATGGATTTTGAACAACTTCATCAAAATGAAAAGGTTTGTAATTATTTTGTCTATGCTAGCCTACCTAAAGATGCATATCTATAGTAAAGTAATTAAACTGATTTATTTTGATGGTTGCCGCTCCTGGACTATAGAAATCAATCTATCGTGTCATAAAGGCTCTCTTCAAGTTTCATCTTGTTAGTAGATGACTATTACAGGATAGATCAGGTTTTTGCGTAGCTAAATATAATTCATGGTTCTATATTTTTTGTCTATTCATCCTAAAAAAAAAGTGTGGCCACTTTTTGGTGCTTTCTACCAAATTTCAAACAAAAAGAACAAACGTCCATGGAGTATTGAATCCTTACTGTTGTGGTTTGAGCAACATGTTGGTAGTTCTATCTTGTTTGGTTGTTCAATTGGTTTCCTTGTACAGAACAGATGTTACAGAGACGGTAGATATTATATGGACATGTGTGACTGGGCATAACTTATTGACAGAGATTGTGATAGCCAGATCGTACTGCTGGAATGTGTGTGCAGCAGGGATTATAAAGGTTCTTGAACACTCTCTGGAAGATAACTGCCTTCAAATTTATAACTGGGGGAGAATTTGTCTGATGTTAATATCCGTAATGCTCACCCTATTCCTAAATATCATTACGATTTGGTCATTGGTAAAGTGGATAATTTTATTCTTTCCTTAACAGAATATGTGGAAAATGGTTTTGCTGTCTAATTGTTCATAAGGAATGTCTTAGATTTGGAGTTGGATCTGCATCTTACTCTTGATTGCATTATAATTGCTTTATTCGCAAGGTCCTACACTGTAAATGTAGTGATTGTTTTCCCTATTGGCTGCTGAAGTTTGTAAGATGATTATAATGGATAAATTCCTGGTTTCAGATTGTTTTCACATCAATATTTTCATTTTTGTAGTCAGTGTAGTATTTCATTTGAATCTTTTTTATTACAAATTTGTGGGCATAATCCTCATTGCAGTCTTTTTTAGGAGGGCTTTATACGGATGACGGCTTACATTATGGAAACTTCACTTATGACTTTTTGTTGTTGGTGAATTTAGAAGATTCACAATGCACTCTTAAGTAATAGCTGATCATTGCTAGGTGGATAGTCATTTTAAAATTTGCTTGCCATTCTAATACCTATTTTGAAGAATGTCAAAGATGGATAGATAACTTTTATTATTGAGTGAAAGTGGCTTTAGGTGGATCGTACATATATTCAAGAATCTTGTTATTTATTGTTGTTTATTTGCTGTTATTGGCATTTGAAAATACTCCTCTTGATACTCACATTTCATTATGCATTGATCATATATATATATTTGATAAGTAATGCATTGATAATATTTGTCTGTAAATAAACCCCTAAGTTGTGGATGTTGGTTGAGGTATTAAGTTAAAGATGTCAGCTTATAGAAATGGGATATTTGTTTTTGCTATTGGTGGTTAGGTTTCACCCCAAGTAGCATGGACACTTGTAAGGAGGGATCAATGTCCTTGTCAGATTTTTTACTTGTAAAAAAAACATGTCCTTGTCAGATACATGCTTGACATTGAAGTTCTTAATTACAGACTCATGGAATAAAATCTTAGAAACCAACAACTAATTGATGAACCTTAGAACTTTGAAGATGCATATGGTTTTCTTTTATCATGGAAAAAGAAGAAAAAATATTATGAAAACTTAAAAGTAAGGTTTTTATAAATTGATAAAAATTCTTAACTATATTTATAAATAAGCAAAAGATAAAGAAATATTCTATAAGGAGTAAATATGGGAGTAGGAGAAGAGTCATTATAATCATGTATTTTAGGGGCGACTCAATATAATTTTAGGCGTTAGGCGAAAAATATAAAAATGGCCTTTTAATATGTAATATATGAATATCAAATAATAGCTAATAATGTTTGTTTAAAAATCACGCTTCTTACTTTTTGAGATGCAAAGTTATTTATTAGATTCTTGAATTAGTTTTTCTTTTGTTTTGGTTGCGGGGAAAAAAAAAAATGTTTTTCTCCTCTTCTTTTTAAGTTTTTATATCTAAATTCATATTTTTCTAGTAGGCATATTCAATAATATAAATAAAAATGGTCACAACTCACAAACAAAATTTACAATTTATGATAACAAGAAATAATAAGATTACAAAATAAATGAAGTAAGAATAATAGAACTTGATGTTAGAAAAATCTGGTCCAAATCTTCCAATGAATTCTTAAATCCTTTTATTTCTATTTTGTAAAAATCCGCTACCTTCGAATCTTTGAAGATTCCTAAATTATTGAAATATGCGAGAATAAAAGCAAGTTCAGATGGAGGAGTGAGATTCTAATGAGTGGAGAAGAGAAAAAATGTTGGAATGAGAGACGAGGGAGATAGAGAGTCTTTGAGTCTGTAATGAGTGAAGGATAGGGAAAAAAAAAAAAAAAAAAAGTTGTAGTGAGAGGAGGAAAAAAGTGAGGAATAGGGGAAAAAAAAAAAAATGTTAATAGGAGAAAATGGGAAGTTTTACCAATTCCCGCAATTATGGTTAAATATATATTCAATAATTAATACGGTTGGTATAATGGTAGAAAATTAAAAAAAGAGTCGAATGAGGAGAGTAGAAAAAGTTTTTTTGGGGGGGGGGGGGGGGGGGGTGTAAGGATAGAAATTACGAGTTTTAATTGAAAATGGAATTAAAAGTTTTATAATGAATTAAATTCTTTTGAGCCACACTATTAAAATCTCTCTATTGACTGGGATCTAATAATGTAAGCAAATACAAATTTTAGTGAGGTAATAATATAAGGTAATAAATTTTTTTGGGAGCCTTAGGCAGTCGGCCTAAGTCGCCTAAGGCTCCTACTGGTCCTGATGTATTTAGATTCATACACATGGATGCATACAAATATGTTGGTTAATGTAATTCACAAGTTGCAAAAACCATATAAAATTTGACAAATATGATTTCATAAAAACTAAAGTTAATATTTGTCAAATATTATATGATTTTTGTACACAACAGAAAATTTGTAAAGATTTTTCATGTCCTCCTCCTGCGTCTGTGTGTTTGTGTCAGGTCTTATCCTAATGTCATATTTGTGGCATGCCTTGAGGGGTGATTAGCCTTTCTTTAGGGGTTGCCGAATCAATTCTTATAAAAGGAAAAGTTACTTATTTAATTTTTTTTTTTTTTTTGGATAAGATTTCATTAAAGGCGCAAGAGGGGAGCGCTCCCAAAGGAATACAAAGAAGCCTAAAACGGCACTATAATTTCAAGCTATCCATATTTATCAAAAAAATAATAATTTCAAGCTATCCACAAAATCCAAAAGATGCTCCAAAGATTTACGATATGCCCCATTGACCCAAAAAACATAGAGCAGAAAGAATATTGTATTTGAGAGACCAAATAGGGGTCTCCTCTCCATCAAAGGATCTCCTATTTCTCTCACGCCACAGACACCGTAAACAAAATGGTGTGGCTCTCCATGCATCCTTGACTCGGCTATCCACTATACACCCTCTCCAAGCCTCCAACATATCAACCGTGGACTTGGGAAACACCCAAGCCATGCCAAAAGCATTCAAGAACAAAGACCACACATCCCTTGCCACTTGACTATGAAGGAGAAGGTGGTTCACTGATTCCTGTGTCTTTTTGCAGATACAACACCCGTTCACGACTATCTGGCGTCTCCTTAGGTTGTCAAGAGTGAGAATGCTACCAAGGGCAGCTGTCCAAGTGAAAAACGCCACCTTCAAGGTGGCTTTCGTCCTCCAAATAGCCTTCCAAGGAAGGGTTGGCCTGGGATCACCATCAAGACTCCGGTAGAAGGACCTATCCTCAAATACCCCCCTCTAGGTGTGCCCACCCACACCTTCTCATCCATACCTCCACCTTCCACCACCTGGCTGTAAAGCAGTGCAAAGAGATAAAAAACCTCAGCAATTTCCCAATCATTAACCTCTCTACAAAACAAAACTGTCAACTGCCCATTATCAACCCGATAACAGTCAGCCACCAGTTAACCTTTTCGTTTTCGGGGTTTCATGCCATATAACTACTAATGTAGATTCTTCTTTAATGTTTTATACTAATATTTTGGTGTTTACTTCTTTGTTCTGTCACCGCATATTCTTTCCATATCCTTTTTTTCCTGGTTCTTGGGAAATGTGTTTATAGTTATGGTTTAACAATTTAGTATGCAGTGGTTGCCTGTGTGTTCATCTTGAAATTTCCTTTTTATTATTTTTTTTTCTCTTTTTTTTTGTTTTATTTTATTTTATTTTTTTGTTTTTGGGGTGGAGGTTGAGGAAGGGTCTTATATAAATCCCTTTTTCGAATGCAAATTACAGCAATAATTGCTTTAGGTGAGAAGGCATTCCGACTATGTATATGACATGTCTAAAACATAAGCCAACCCTGTTTTGTTTTTCTTTGGTAATCAGTATTAATCCTAAGCTAAACTGATCAATTTTGTTACCCAACCTATTGAACTGGTTGCGGGGGTAGACTTGTCTCCTAAACTCCTCAGCTTTGGGGTGGCTAAACACAAGTATTCAACAGAGTTTGAACTTTTCATCTCTCTCATTACATGGTTCTTTTTGCCTCTTATTACTATTAAAATTTTAAACCATTAATGATATATAAAGAAATCACCTTAAAACAAAATAATATGAATTTTCTGCATATTGTGTGATGCTACTTGTGTGGGATAATTAAATGCTGGTCAAGCATTATCATTGCATCAACAAGAACATGAAATTTTATTGTGGCATGACTTTTCATCTTCTTGTTGCGATTAATGATCCAAACTAATTAGCTTGAATGGTAATATATATCCTTGTGTTCAGTGTTGAATAACCTCTTTAATCAACTTACCAAAATAGTAAAAAAAAAAAAAAAATTTCTGATAGTTCGGACTGTAATCCGAGACTCTGATAGAGAGTCGTGCAAGGCCGGTGATCTAATAGGGAATTTTTTTTTTTTTTTTTGGATAAGTCTAGACCTATAGGGAAAGTGAATAGGTTTTGCAGATTGGATTACCAAATTTTGACTGCTTTTTAATTTAAACTAACTTAACTAATTTTAAGTCATAACATAATTTTAAAACTACTCAATCCATAATTTTTGCATGCAATCAATAGATAAAACAAGATAAAGCAATAAGAATAATTGACATAGAGATTTTTTACATTGAAAACCCAAACTGGAAAAGCCACAAGTAGTCCAGGCAAACCCGAATCCTATGAGAAAGAAGGTTTAAAACCCAGATTACATATTTACAGTTTCTTACCCTTAAAACTCCTAGTTCAATCACTTGACAGATCCACCAAATTCTCCTCAAGTCTCTAGGTACACAATTTACTCGGTGACAGACTTTGCTCCTCACAGATCTACTTCTCCACCATTAATTTAGTTTCAGCCTCTAATCGTCCAGTTCAATCACTGATGATGGACTGAGAGTGGTGTTGAACTTGTTTGTCATAGCTCTACAGCGATTGATATTAATATGCAATGAAGAACACTCACTTCTAATAAGTATGATGAATACAAAGAAAAAAATAATGCAGCTTTAGATCTCAAAATTACGCTCTCTCAATATGTATTCTAGGTATATAGATTTGTTTTTTTTTATTCTACCATATCATGGTATATTTGTAGGAAAAGTAGAGGTATCAGTGGATAGTTTGGTAGTGTTTTAAACTAGAATGGAAACTTAGTTCCCATATGGTTCGATCGATCGAAGGGTTGGTCGATCGACTGACACAATCTAGTGGCCCTCGATCGATTGCTCTATCAATCAAAGTCTACTGCATTTTAAGACTCGGAAAAATTTAGATCAGGAAATTTCCAGAAACACTTACTCGTATTTTGAAAGATTTAGGGATACAAATAAGATCAAATCAAGTAGAAAATAAAAACCCTAATCATGCATGCATGACACCTAATTTGGTGAGTGCATCAATGTGTCACTTTCCCCCTTTTCCCTTGTAGAAGAAGATTATGCAAATACCCTTTAGTGTAGCTTCAATTTCCTTCTTCAACCAAGTGTAGGAGGTAACAACTAGTACTAACTTTCTTTTGAAATTTCTAGTCTAAACTAGAAATTAAAACAAACGCTACAGACTCTACTTTTGTTCTACAATATTTGCCAACGTAAGTCCTATTGACCTAACACTTTCTAATTTATGACATGGATACAATAATTAAGCATAATTGTGTAATGTGGTCAGAAAAACCTTCATAATTGACAATGCCATCTCATGCATTGATTTATCTTATTACTGAAAAGGTTAGTAATTATTATTATTACTATTGTGGTTATTATTATTGTTGTTATTATTATTATTAGGGTTCAGTGCATTAAACCCCCCCTGAAGTATGACCTGATTGTAAAAATCCTCCTTGAACTAAGAAAACCCCCCTAAATTTTCAGTTTGTTGCACTCAATGATGGACCGTCACCCAGCCGTTAATGGAAAAAAAAATCATTTAGCCCCTAGTTGAACAACGCCGTTAAGTAGTTTTATATTGTTAGTTGCTGATGAGGCAATGTAATTTTCAGAACCAATAAATAAGCGACACCTACCCCCCAAAAGAGAAGATTTATATGTATAACATATTTACCCGGGTATATGTATATACCTTTAATCCTACACACCTCCCTGCTTATCCTGCGCGCACCACCACACACCCCCCCCCCCCCCCCCCCCCATTAAAAAGCGCGGGCCGCGGATCTTCCTCAGCTTCACCATCATCATCTACAACAAGTACATCCTCGATCGCAAGCTTTACAACTGGCCGTACCCGATCTCTCTCACCATGATCCACATGGATTTTTGCTCCCCCTTAGCCCTCCTCTGCGTTCGCGTCTTCTCTCTCGTCGAACCCATGTCACGTGGCCTCTACCTCTCCTCCGTCGTCCCCGTCGGAGCTCTCTATTCCCTCAGCCTCTGGCTCTCAAACTCTGCCTACATCTACCTCTTTGTGTCTTTCATTCAAAATGCTCAAAGTCCTCATGCTTGTTGCTGTGTACACCATTGGAATTCTCTTCAAGAAAGAGAGATTCAAATCGGAAATAATGGCGAACATGGTGTCAATAATGATTGGGATTGTGATTGCTGCCTACGGAGAAGCCAAATTCGATTTGTGAGGTTTGTTTCTCCAATTGGGTGTTGTTGTGACTCGGTTGGTGATGATTCAGATCTTGCTCACATCAAAGGGTATTGCATTGAATCTCCTTAATTGGTTGTTGTGGAGACTAGGTCGGATTTTTATTTCGATTTTGTGATTTTTGGGACAAATTCTTTCTGTGCATTTGCATTGAATTTGGTTGTGTTTTTGCTTGTTGGGAAGACCTCTGCTTTGACTATGAATGTGGCTGGTGTGGTGAAGTATTGGCTGTTGATTGCGTTTTTGTGGTCGGTGATCAAGGATGCCATGATGCCAGTGAATTTGTTCGGATATGGGTTGGCATTTTTGGGAGTTGGGTATTATAATCATTCTAAGTTCCAGGCTTTGAAGGCGAATGATGGGTAGAAGAAGGCTTAGCAAGATGAAGAAGAAGCTGGGAGGTTGTTGGAGGAGAGAGAAGAGTGGGAGGAAATTGGAGGAAGAGTGGTTCGCAGTCGTAAGGTATATTTTGGATTATAAATTTTTCCCAAGGCACATGGCTCACGTGCCTTCAATTGGTGTTAAATATGAGACAGCAAAGTAATGGAATTTGATTTTTTTGTAACAAACGGAATAATTAAGGGGTTAAGTGTCTTTCTTAAAGTTCAGGGGGGTTTCTTGGGAGAGAGAAGAAAGCTCGGGGGGTTTAGTGCACTTGACCCTTATTAGTGTTTAACAAGTTACATGGGTATATTCTGTGTTCTTATTTTCAAGGTGTCTTATCTAATCATTTTGTTTCAGTTTGAAATCAGGGAGCAGCGGTTGAGGTTTGCAGATAGCAGTCCATCAAGTTCATATTTGCACAATGAGGTTCACGCTTACACATATCATTTCTTCATAAGCCTATTTGAATTTATCGTAAGGAACCTAGATCTTTTGTTACTTTATAAGTTTGTGCTTTGTCAATTACAGGATGTCGCAAGCATTTGCAAGAGGAGAGGTGGAAACGACGATAGAAACCTAAAGCATAGTGATTGGTTAAATACTGTACAGTTTGAACCTGATGTGATCTCAATGTCCTTCATCCCGATTACCTCTCTGCTGAATGGTATCTCAGGGAGCGGCTACTTGAGCCACGCCATAAATCTCTATTTACGCTGTGAGCAAGACCCATTTTTCTGTATACTTTCTCGCATAACTGCAACACCATAGGTTTCAATTAAGTTTTTCTGTTCCCTTTTCTCTCCACGGGGATGGTTTCTTACTAGTACAAAATTAATCGCATCATTATTTAATAAAATCCTAACTATGGAAGGGGCTTCAATTTCTGCTGGCAGATAAACCGCCAATTGAAGAACTCCATCCATTTTTGGAATTTCAACTGCCAAGGCAGTGGGCACCAGTGTTCAGTGACCTTCCCCTTGGTCCACAACGGAGGCAACGAAGTACAGCATCTTTGCAATTCAGCTTCATGGGTCCCAAGCTTTATGTAAACACCACTCCGGTAAAGCTTCTTCTCTTGTAAGATTATTCTCGTGTGTTCACTTGTTGAACCTTCTTAATGGACAAGGTTGCATGCACTTCTCATGTTGTATTTTATGTTTTAGAAGGATCCATACCATGTTTATGAAATCTCTTGGGCATTTATAGTCTGAACCACCACTAATTTTAAACTCTAATATATGTTGACTGAATGATTAGTATATAAAAATATATAATAATCACAGGTTCTAAAAACGTTTCTGCATGTACATCTGACCCCAGACCCCGCAATGGCAGGAGCCTCGTGCACTGGGTTTGCCCATGTTTACAACCCTTATTAACAAGAAATGAATAGATACATAAAATCTAAGAACCTTTTTATGTGCACCGAAGTATCAAATCATACCATTTGATTGCTACATTCAACTATGAATTATGGTCAACCATGTTTTCTTCTGTGGATATGTGCATCAACATATCTGGTGTTTCTATGGAGCAAACTTCAGTATTGGTGTTCTCATATTTATTTTGCTATCCTCAGTGTTCTACCTTGAAGAAATTAGACAGGCACTTAGTGTCTGTATGTGTGAAAGAATCAGCAAACTTAGCGGGCTAATGTTGCATTCTCGTATGCTTGCTTAAGATGATCTCATATGTCATATTGAACTCTCTGTTGGGGAAATTGCTCATAAATTATAACACATTATAATCATAACAAATAAAATTATTATTCACATAAAAAAAAAAAAAATACATCAACACGAATTGATAATAGAATATCATGGATTAACATGAATAATACATCAAATTGAACATCATGAATACAACAATGAATCATAGAATATTAATCTATACAATAATATCAACAATAGAAATTAAGATAAGAAAACAATGATAATAAAATAAATAGGAAAGAATTGGCCTGGATAATGAGAGCATGCAAGCACTATCCTAAAGTCGCATGGCCTCCCTATGTGCTGGTGATAGCGGTCCAAGATACAACCCATATTCGCCAGTAGTCTTCTCCAGGCACGTCCGAAGAGAGACAAAGTGTACTAGTCTTGTCTTCAAAGTTGCCCCAAACACAATACGGTCACGGTTCCCAAAACAGGACACTTATTTTGGGACACAGGGAGTATAAAATAATCTCAAGTTTCAATAGGAAAAGGAGAAAAAGAGATAGCTTTATAAGAACAAACTCACAGCCTTGCACTACTCTAGTGTTTCTCAATTGTGTACCCCAAAGTATGGTATAGAGCATTTTTATAACTTTAAGGCTTGTAACTCTTTTGTGCCATCAATACAGAATTTATAATAAAATAATAATAATAATAATATTTATGATTTTTATTAAATAGTAGTAACACTCTTGTTCCTACAAACCTAATAAAATTTTAGTTGTATTATATTTATACAGTTTAGGGGTCATTCCTTGGTGCTGTGGTGAAAGCTCGTTTGACAAGCGTGAGGAAGTAGCGGTTTGAGTCTATGAGCAATTAATTTTGTGTAAAATAATATCAAAAGTTAGGTCTGTATCTAGTCTCCCTAATAGGTATTAGGATGGGACTCCCACAAATGCACCCACCGCACATGATCCATACCTATGCTATAGGTGTGGGGACAAGGAAAAATAGGTTTTGGGTTTTCTTATATTTTTCTAAGCTTTGATCTATCTTCTTCTTCTTCTTCTTCTTCTTCTTCTTCTTCTTCATTCTATCTATTTTTTGTTCTCTCCCATCTCTCTCTCTCTCTCTCTTGCACCTTTTATTTGATCTCTCGTCTCGTTCTTTCAACTCTCTCTCTCTCTTTATATATCTCTATGTTTATTGTCTTGTCGTCTTCCTATCCATTGCATTGCCGTAATCGTATCATTGTCTTTCCACTGAATTGAACCAGCGCCATCTTCGTCGACACCGTCACGCCAGTTTACAGCTAACAAGCCCTATCTCATCTCTCAGATTGTCGTCTTCCCCGTCAAAACCATAGCTCATCACATCGCATAACAGGACCCATCTGCCAAACCTTCAGTCGAGCCTGAGCAAAACTTAATCCTACTATTTCTTTTTCTTTTCAGTTATCAACACAAATTGCAGAAACCCAGATTGACAATCTCTGTCTCCATTGAAGCACGTCGATCTGCTAAGGTCAGCCTTATTTCAAGTAATTACCCAACTCAAACCACATAAGATCCAGCTCATAATTGAATCAGCTCAGATTCCAATACCCAGATCCAGTTTTGACCCAATCTATGCGAACAGCCAGCAGACCAAACTAGCCAAATTAATCCAGCTAAAGAAAAGAAAAATGAAAAATGAAAATTTTAGAATGTTATCTTTACAAAATTAGGGATTCTTCAATTGCGAACCTTCTTGGAGTTTTTCGAGTAGTCTGGAGGCATTGTTTTCACTTGGAAACTACATTGGATCTTTTGATAAAAATTAAACATGAGCATTTGTAAGCCCCAGTCTAACTGGTACATGACTTTCTAAATATTAGACAAAACGTGAGCACTATAAAGCACTGAATGGACCACATTCGTGTAAACCTACGTGCTGAATTAGCCAAATTATTAGGTCAATGAGACATAGGTTGACAAATTTCGCAGAACAAAGCCCGAGTATGTAACTTTTTAAAAAAAAAATTAGCTTTAAGTTAATTGTTAAAAAATTAGTGTGTTACTTTCTACACTTGGATGATGAAGGAATATGGAGCTACATTCAATGGTATATGAGTAATCTTGTTCTACAATGGTAAAAAGGTAAATTGACACATTAATGCACTCGCCAATCCAGGTTCATGCATTCATGATTAGGGTTTCTTCATTCTACATGACTTGACCTTATTTGATTCCCTAAAATCTTTCAAAACGTTCATAATAAAAGCTTGAAATATTTATATAATAATTTTCAAGGACTAACGATAAACTAGTTTGACTTTGGCAGGTTGATGTGGGCAAAAGGCCTGTGACTGGTCTCCGACTATATCTAGAAGGTAAAAGAAGTAACCGATTGGCCATCCACATGCAGCACCTGTCCTCTCTTCCGAAGATATTCCTACTTGAAAACGATCCAAATGGCAACTTCTGCCAAGAGTCTTATGATCGAAAATACTATGAAAAAGTTCAATGGAAGAACTTCTCCCATGTCTGTACAGCTCCAGTTGAGTCTGATGAGGATCTTTCCATAGTAACAGGAGCTCAACTGCAAGTTGGAGATTATGGCTTCAAAAAAATTCTGTTCTTACGACTCCGCTTCTCAAATCTATTAAACGCTGCAGTAGTAAAACGTCCAGAATGGGATGGTTCCCCAGGTTTGGCCCGTAAATCCGGACTTATATCAACTCTTATAAGCCATCATTTCACTACAGTCATGAAGCCACCTCCACAGCCAGCTGATGTGAATATAAACTCCGCTGTTTACCCCGGGGGACCTCCAGTTCCTGTCCAAGCACCCAAACTTTTGAAGTTCGTTGATATGACTGAGATGATGAGAGGGCCCCAAGAAAATCCGGGATATTGGGTCGTTTCTGGGGCGAGACTTATTGTCGAAAAGGGCAAGATTTCTCTCAGGGTCAAATATTCTTTATTGACTGTAATGTTACCTGATGAAGATGAAGATGAAGTGACAGAGAACCCCTAACAAGAGCGTTTTGTTCATTTTCTCTTGTAGGTTGTTTAAACAGAGGGATGATTGATCCTGAAAATGCTGAGATGGTAGTTGTATAACTAATTCAATTTTCTTTCTCCAATTTTTGCCTGTGGTGTTCTTATACTATTATTGTTCCCCGTGTCGACACTTCTAGTTGCTATATTTGGGAGTATCGAATTGGCGTCTTAGAATCGGAGTAAATTTAGTTCAGACAAACATCGATTTGGTCAAACGCGACAGAAGTGTATTTCTTTTGTGTATCTGTCAGAAGTGTCTGCAGACTACTTTGAATCATGATTCATAGGGGTGTACAACACAGCAACAGAAGTTAGAGTTGACTGACCCTTTTTGGAACACACGACTCACACACACACGGAGCAAGGAAAGTCGAGTTGCCATATATTATTCATGCCTGAAAGAACCAACTGGTTGAGTGAATTTTTCCCCCACTGTGAATGGTATGTTTTGTAAGCTGTACTGGTGGATGACTTATATAAGATGCTAGAAATATATGCTCCGTTTGGTTGGAGGATGGAAAAATAGATGGAAGGGAGACGGGGAGAGATGGATGAGGCATCCCTAGGGAAGGAAAGGGAATGCGTCTTCACTAGCAGAGAGAATTGATGGGGTGACATTTTTTTTGTTTAGTTGGAAGGAAGTTAAATATACCATTATTAACGCAATAGAATTACAAGCAAACTGTTGGGAAGGTTAAAAATTAAAATTACATATGTGTTAGTTATTATCCTTCTTTCTCTCTTCTTTTTCCTAATTTTGGACGGATAGGAAAATTCAAAAATGCTTTTATCCCCCTGTGTTTCCTTCCTCTCTTTCCTTCCCTCCAGCCAAACAGCAAGAAGTTAATTTTATCCCCCCTCATCCATCCCTCCCCATCTTTCATTCCAGCCAAACATACCATTGAGTAATTAAGAAAGTGTTTGAATGTATTGTTTATAGGTGTACTGTTAAACAACTAATATGTCTGAATGTCATGTTTGTAAGCTGTACTTTGAAACTTTTTTTACAAGATTATGCGAGTCTTAGATGAATAAAAACAAGGAGTGCACTATAGAAGAGAAAAAAAGGAGGAGGGTGGATTGTAAATCTGTAATTACTTCCCAAGATGTTCAGAGAAATTAATTGAAACTTCATTCTCTCTCACTAAAAAATTAAATAAAATAAAAAATAGCAATTTGTATCTCCGCGAAGTAATAAACAACCACGTGGAAACACATGAATTTCTCTAAATGAAGTAAGACTATCGAAGAGAAATCTAATCAAAATAAGAATTTGAGACATAAATAATCAAATATATACCAAAGAATATTTACTGGAAAAAAAAAACAAAAAAAGACCAATGAATCACCAATGATAGGTCTTACAAAAAAAAATAAAGGAGAAAAAAAAAAATAAGTGAGAGAGTGCATAAACCATGCATAGCATAGCAAAGATTAAAATGAAATAGGCTCTCAGAAAAATAAAATAAAAATTGTTCAAAATAAAATGCTCATTAAATTATGCCACTACATATATACAAATGCATAACAAAATAATTGTTTGATCAAAACAAGCAGCCAAAATGATAAAACCGAATCCATCTATCATTACTCGTATGCATGGATTGAGGGAAGTAGAGAGGGGGGGGGGGGGGGTGTGAAACACTGATATTTCTACGAGAACGAGATACCTCGTATCGAATACTAATATAAAAGTAACTTTATTTTATTGTCCGTGAGAATCCGGTCCATATCTAAATAACTAATATGTGGGGGAGACATTAATCCACAGATGATGTAGTTTTTTCATTTCCCTTCAAAATGCTTGTGTAATTTACCAATAAAAATAAAAATAAAAATTGACTTAAACTTTGCATAGACAATCCCAGCATATGATTTCTATTAGTCTTTTAGCTGGGATAGCAAATACATGATCTAAGTAGCCAAAACTCAAAAAGGATGGCAATCCATTGGTTTTGAGGGCAGTAAATGTACTGGGCTTGAGCTTATTTCCAATTGATCCACACCAATTCGGTTATTTAGAATTAGAATGTGTATCCCTGTCAATCACGATGAGATGTCACGTAGCTAAAAAAATTGAATAAAGTTGACACATTTAATTGCATAATTTTTTATAATTGATTGAGATTAAATGGTCTCGAACCACTTAATAATTTATCGTGTATGTGTGTGTGTGCGCGCGCGCGCGCACGAGTGGCAAGACCAATGTTGCTCACATGCTAAAACTAATTGGGTGATAGTAGTAGTTGTTGACTCAACAAGACATAATTTATTCTAATTAAATTAAGATTCTCTCTGATTTCCTTAAAATTCTTATGAAACAATTGTCTTAATTTAAGTATTATTATCAAATGCCGTAATCTAATGATATTTCTTCACATTTTAAAATAGAAGATTGAGAGTACACGTTTTCACATAAATAAAATAGGGGTGATAACAAAAAAGGGGGTAAGATTATGATCTTAACCGGCTGAATAACAAATTCTTTGGTCAACAAATCCTATACATATAACGTAGAAAAAAGAAAACATTATGTTCAGTTGTATGAAATTAGTGTTTAATTCAATGTTGAGGAGAGTTATGGTATCTAGATTAATGGCCTCAAACTTAATGTAGCCTTGTGCTAAATTTGAATTCTCTCGTCAATTCAAAAGTTTTTTCTATTATTTAAATCCATTATCTCAAAAATGAATAATTAACTTGGGTATTAATTAAATTTGCATGTCTTACAGGTATATATATATAATTTTTAGTAACCAATCTATGCTCTTAATTGCAATTTGAAATAGGCAAGATCGACTTGTAGATTCCTCCTACTCATATAAATCCCATCTCATGTACAAAAGGTGAGTTCAAAATGTGAAAAGATAAATTGAGAAGGTTGCAAATTTGGCATTAAACAATAAAATTCACAATAGACCATGAAGCGAGAGAGAGAGAGAGAGAGAGAATCTAAGAATTAAAGCATGTTCACTAATACAAATGCCATTGACTAGCTATATTAAGGTCTGCTCCCCTTATATATACAAAATACAAAGAGTACTTTAGTGGAGATGCCTAACTAATTTTCAAAGAAGACATTTGAGTACAACCTTAAGCTTTCAATACACACACACACACACACACACACATATATAGAGAGAATATATATGATGCCTTGCAACTTGGAGTAGTGAAGTAATAATTCAGGATATTGGTGAACATATGCTTTGCTTTGAGGTAGGAATTGAGTGGACATAGAATGATAGCAAGCTAGGGAAAGCAATGAGTGACAATGATGCTCAAAAAGACAGTGTGTGGACAAAGCCCATTTGAGCATGACTTGGATTTCCACCATTTACCAGTCTCGCCATACCCCACATATGCAAGGTCAATCCATAATGTCAAAAGGAACATGTTTCATGTACTATATATATATTTATATATTTGTTAACAACCTGCATAGCAGCTGACCTATGATAATAGGGTTTATTCGTTTATACATACATATATCTGTTTGTGTGTGTGTGTGTATATATATATATATTATTTGTTGTATCATCACGCTATATATTGAGCATGCTATGTCGTAGCAATAAAAATTTACCATTCAATGAAACTGGTTTTGTTATATTTTCATATAAGTCCAGCATGTCAATAACGTGGTACGTCAGACTCAGCTTATTATTCTTCACACCATGATGACACATTAAGAGCCGGAGTCTCAATGACATTGGCGTTAATGATATAATTTCTCTCAAAAGAAGAAAAAAGAAAAAAGAAAAGAAGGTTATGAAATTTTGGCCGACATCTCAATCAATGTGAATAACGCCACTCATTCATATATATATATATAAAGCCATTTCTTTTATTTCCCTGTCCCTCCTGTTTTAGTCAATTCTCCCTCTTGTAGATATCATGATTCTTAGAATTGGTAAATTATAATAATTATTAAAAAAAATTATTATTATTACAATTTACTATTTTGCAATTTATTTCCCTGTCCCTCCTGTTTTAGTAAATTCTCCCTCTTTAGATATCATGATTCATATAATTGGTAAATAATAATAATTATTACAAAATATTATTATTATTACAATTTACTATTTTACAATTTAAAAGGACTATCCACAGTCCACCTCATGTCATATACATAAGAAATAGATATCACGGAATTTAGTTATGGGTTAAGTGCAAAAAACCCCACTCTATTATTGATATAATGCAAAACAGTTCCTGTGTGGTAGAAAACCCCTCTATATTATCAATTTGACGCAATTACCCATCTGTTCGCATGAAAAGACATTAATACCTTCTCTAATATAAATTTCTGGATTAAGTGCAAAAAAACCCCCCTGATATATAGGGTTAGTGCATAAATAGTCTTTACTTTTTGAAAATGTGCATTTCAGTCCATAAAATTCAAAAAATGTGCAAATAAGCCCCTCTGACCACTTTTTGGTCAAAATTGACATAAAATAAATTCAAAAACCCTACTTTACCCGTTTCTTTTCCCATTCTACCTTTCTCTCCTACGCTCTACCACCACCATCCTCACCACCACCATCACTATGTTTATTCTGGCCATTCAATTCAACCCTATAGCCAAAGTACAACGCCGATCTGTTGAGTTAACTCAGTGTGTCATCAAACAAAGCCACGTCAAAAACCCAGTTGTTGGTGGTTGTTGGCAACGGTGAAGGACGGCGAGCTCGAGACGCCGTTAATGTGACACCGGTGATGGCAATTGACGAGAAGGGTCTGGATTTATTGGTGTTTGCCGTTCAGTAAGGATGAGAGCTTGTCGGCAGAGTTTGGTTGACAGTGAAAGGTTAAGGTCTCATTTTACGACGATGAGATGGTGGACGGTGAATCTCATGAGTGGTTTCAGATGGGAGTGGTTCTGTCGCCTCTGAGGAAGAGGTTAGTAGGGTTGGCTAAGTACGTACCGTCCGATGGCGATGAGGGCCTCTGCAATGACTATGAGGCTCAACCACTATTTTACTCTTGCCCTTCATTCCACCACCACGTCCACCACGGCCGCCTCTGCCCCTTCCTCTCCCTCCATCACCTTTACGGCCACCACAACTTTTAAAGCCGTCGC